TTTTTTTGGGGGGGGGGGTGCTTGAGGATCATGTGTGTGCCCAAAATTCCGAGTATTTCTGATTGTTTTAAAGCCAGACGGTGTGGTGTGCGGGAGGACCTCTTGCATGGGTGTGTGCTCACACCACAGTCTCTGTCTTCCATTTCTCCTTTCCGTGTGCGTGCACACGTGCTGGTGTGTTTTCAAGCCACTGGGGCTGGGAACAGAACTGTGGTCGGCTGTGTGGGCACCCGTGTTCCCTGGGGGCAGTCCAGAATAGATTCAGGTTTAATTGATGTTGCTGTATTACTTTGCACAAGGCTGTTAACCTTTACTTTCCTGATAGCAGTGTGTGTGGGTGGGTATCTTTGAAAAGTTCATGGAAAATTCACATTAGGAAAAAATTGGGGGCCAGCTGGTGGCATGGCTTTAAGATGGCTGGATCCTCATGGCTGACGGCACGGTTGGAGACCTGGACCTCACAGCTCTCACAGCTTGAGAAACATCCTGGGTGCATGTACTTGCATACCCCAAGTCACTACAGGAGAGATAGAGGACAGGGATTATGGTGTGACATCCCCCATAGGGGCTGTCTTTTCACCTTCTCTCAGGCAAGCATACACATGTCCTCTAGCAAATTAAAACAAACAAAAACTAGGCATGGATTGTAAGTTTTCGCACCAAAATTTGTATTTGTTAAGATTTTTGCCGTAAGATGCACATGCTCTCTAGAGAGACAGAGAGATACAGAGACAGAAAGCGAGAAATCACCTCCCCCATGGGGGATGACCACACCACAATCGCTTATGGGTATGCACCACATGCACCCAGTATGAGTTTCAAGCTGCTGGGTCTGAGATTTGAACCGCGGTTGACTACTTGGGAGCTCAGTGACATAACTATTACACCATCTGCTGGTCCCCAAAGTTTGTGTTTTAACTTTGATTTTTTCCATGAATTTTGTTAAGTCCTAGATTAGTTGCCCCCTTTTCCGCATCCCACAGGGGTAAGCATTATCTATGTTTTGGGGGTTTGTTTCCAGCCACCAAAGAGAATTCTTATTTACCTGAATTTTTAATTTTTCTTCCTTAGTAATTTAGTTGATCCTTTTTTTGTTATCGTTTATCATTTAGATTTGTTTTTCTGCACATTTTCATTTCTACCCTCTGCCCATTTTTCCTGTTGGTTTGTCTTTTTCTTGTCAATTCCACATACATATACATGCCTGTGTTTGTAAAGGGAGGATCTTTTCCTCCAGAGTAGTGCTGTCTAATGGAAATGTAATAGAAATCACTTACGTAATTTTTAGTTTTTTGGTGATAGCCATGAATAAAGTACAAATGAAATGGGTGAAGTCAATTTAAATTTTTAGTTCACCAATCTAACCCTGTATATGCAGAATATTATCATTTTAACAGATAACCTGTTTTATTTATTTTAAAAAATTATTATTTATTAAACTACAAGTTCTTTTTAGCTTTTTTTCGGCGGGGGGGAGGTTTGCTATAGGGCGCATGCGCTCGCCAGAAAGACAGAGAGACTGTGTGTGCAGAATATTATAATTTTAACAGATAATCAGTTTTATTTATTTTTTAAAAATTATTATTTATTAAACTACAAGGTTTTTTTAGCTTTTTTTCTCGCCAGAAAGACAGAGAGACAAAGCAAAAATCACCCCCTGGGGGGGGGATGACCACGCAATCCCTTCTCTTCTATTCTCCTCTTGGGATCTTGGGCGCGCACACACATGCATCCGGCGTGAGTTTAAGCCATCAGGTCTGGGACTTGAACCGCGGTTGACTACATGGGAGTCCAGTGACATAGTCATTATGCCAACAACTGGTCCCTGTAAGTATTATTTTTGAAGTTTGCTATAGGACATGTGTGCTCACTAGAGAGAGAGAGAGAGAGAGAGAGAGAGAGAAAGAAAGAAAGCAAGCAAGCAAGCAAGCAAGCAAGCTAGCAGCCAGGTCCAGACTCGAACTTTGGTCAGCCACATAGGAGTTCAGCACCTTAACCACCATGCTGCTTGCTGGCCCGATAATCAGTTTTAAATCATTTTTAATCCTTTGTGATACTGTGTGTATGTGTGTGTGTGCACATATGAGAGTGAGAGGGGAATGGAGAGGTGAGCACCCTCCACAGGGCCTGGTCACACCCTTTCTCTAGTCCTCCAGCCTACTGGATCTTGGGCACTTGATTTTGTGCCTGGCATGTTTTAGGCTGCCCAGGCTGGGGATTTGAACCATAAGCTTCATGTGGGATCCAGCTTCTCTTAAGCAGTGCCTTACTGCTATGCCATGGAGTCAGCCTCCTGGTTTAAATAATTGTTAATGAGATATTCCATGTCAACTGAGTCTTTGAGGTTTGGTACCTACTTTATTTACACCTAACTGGCATCTCAGTTCAGATTAGGCACCAGGGAAGTGCCCAGTGGCTGCACATGGCTGGCTGCTGGCTGCTGTGCTGAATGGTGCTGAGCGAGGTGCGTGTGCAGTTGCATGAGCTCCACATATTTATTTTTTAAAGAATTATTTATCTTAATTTTATTAATATTTTAATTTGCTATAGGACATTTGCACCCACCAGGGAGAGACAAAGACAGAGAAAGTGAGCTGCCAGATCTGGGACTCAAACCATGGTCAACCATGTGGCAGTCCAGCGCCCCAACCACCACGCCACCTGCTGGCCCCACGAGCTCCATTTATTAGTCATCTTTTTCTCATTGAGCTGAACTGCCATACTTATTATATGTTAAATTCTTTTATTGTGAGATCTACTTCTGATTTTTAAATTATATATATATTTTAATCTCTGTAATGATTAGTTTATTAGTACCATCCAGGACTCAGATGTTCAGTATTTCTCCTCAAATTACATGAACAAATGCAAATGGAAAAAATGCAAGTCAGAATCACATAACAAACAGCGCTCTATCACAAAAGCTGTGAAATTACAAGAACACTTATTTTAAAACACTGGTGCTTAAGGGGAAAGATAATCTCAAACCACAAAATTGCCAAATGTCCCCTAAACTGTTAAGCAGATAAACAGGACTCTAGTGAATGAGTTTGGGTTTTGTAAAGAAAAATCAAGTTCAAATAAATTGGATAATTTGTACTGAGCTGCGAAATTTGTGTCTTTCTTCATGTCTATCTGATTTATAAAGGGGCAGACAACAGAGCAGCGTTTCCCCTGTTTTAAACGTGGTATCCTCGTTTTAAAAACTGGCCCAATTAGTTAAAAGTACCTTTAGTGGAAAGCCAGGTTTCCTGAGCAGCCCATATTTAGATAAGTGGAAAGAGACGTTTGCAGCCAGCACTTCCATAGCCTTTGCTGGAACAGAGGTCAACAGAAAACTTGAATACGGCAGTCTTGTATTTTAAGGTCGTGCCCTTAGGGACGCTTTCTAAAGACTTCTGTAACAAAACTTGAATACGGCAGTCTTGTATTTTAAGATTATGCTCTTAGGGACGCTTTCTAAAGACTTCTGTAACGTAGGAACTGCAAAAATGTAACTGCCATTACATGGTAACAGGAGTTAAAGAATACAGAGCCCTCACGTAAAGATGAGAGCGCACTCTGCTATTAGTCCCTCAAGGACCGCTTTCAGAATGTTTGGTCCTAGTAATCCCATGCCGGGAGTAGACCGGTTACTGTTAGTGGGCTATGTGAAATTTGTTATCAGCCGATTAAAATTCTACCATTTCAGTTCTGGATCAAAACTGTTAAAAATTTTTTATCACCCTCATCATGATATGCAGGGTGTGTAGACAAAAGCTTTTAATCAGCTAACTACAATGAAAAGATAAACAGTGTAGTATTTTATGTGATCCAAAATGGACAAAAGGAAGACTAGCTTCCCCTCAAGAAGAAAATTTTAGACCTATGAAAAGGACAATACTAATTCAAAAATTATATTTACTTAGATGCATTCAGAATGTCAACAAAACAGCTGCAACTTTTTTTTTTTTTGCAATTACAGAGTGATGTTCAGTTAACAGAACAGCAGGTATTTGTATGAGCTGCATCAGAGTCTGCTGAAAATGAAAAAACCACCATCCCCATAC